TGATAGTGAGGGCTGACATGTTTTTTGTCTATGAAAGAAAAAAGTGTCGACATATATGTAGCAAATGAAGACCCGATTCTTTTGATGGCTTCGAAAATCCACAACTTATTTAGAATTCGGACGGTCCGGCAGGGAGTGACTTAAGCCATAAACCACCAAAGGAATTGGGCCTCAGAAATTACCACGCCTTCGTCACCCTTAAGGGGGCGGCACATGCAACTACCTTAGCCACCACCGGTCCCTTCTACCTTCTCCTCCTCTGGTCTCCTCATTACCATCGGTTCACTGTTCGATGGTGGCGAATGTGTCTGCTCATCCTCGTTCGGCACACTAGTTTTTGTTTGTTTTTTCATTCTTCTCCTTCTTCTTTGATTGTGTCCATTTTCAATGTCCTGACTAGATCTTGATATTGTGTCATTGCAGAGACAGGGTATAATTGGTATCATCTTGGTATTATTATGTCATTACAATTTGCTAAAATAATATGGCAACAACTAAAATGATGTTCATGGAAATAGGAGTATATTTTGGGTTTTTGGGACTAAACCCAACAGTTTTATTGAGGGATTCACAATAGCGCCACTGCGACATCATTGCTGATTTCATCATGATGTCACGATCAGTGCAACGACGCCCCATCAGATGGAGCTGGATGTGTCACCCGTCGGGAGCTGTAGCGAACGTTCACGCCATATAATTCCCATTTTTTGTTAAATATTATGAAGTTTGAACTAGCTTGTACATATACGATTAGTGAAAATCCTAATGAGGGTTCAAAATTCCAAATGATTAAAGCAAGTCTTGGGAGCTATGATCTATTTGTGAGTACACACACTTTCCACTATTAAACTCCTGTTTCTCCCCCACTTTATTCAAACCACAACTTGGTGGGACAAATGTGCATGCCACAAGTGGTCTTTCTCTACCTTTTTCTTAATTATGTTTACTAAACTTGTCTTGCATACTTCGACAGTTCCTCCCTCTCTCTTCCTCTGTCTACAAACTTGAAATAATTTTTTTCTTGGCTGTGTCTTGCACAGCACCTGTGTTGTTCTAATAGGAGGTCCAAAGTCAAAGTAGTGAAAAGGGCACCCCAAAACCCGGGCGACCCTATGAAATGGACAAGAACATGTGTCTTGTGAGCCGTGCTCGTTCCATCATAATTAGTACGCTCCGGTTTTGGTCTCTCTCGGCAGATTAACTAACTTAAACATTTCTGGTACAATCTTGTCATGCATATATATATATTTTGCATGCATGTGTGGAGCCTCCTTGCCCTCAGATTGTGCCCCAACCCCAGCCCCTTTTCCTTTCTCTACTAGTTGAACATGCACCACCTTCTCCTCCTCACACCTTTTCAGATGTTGTCTAGCTAGGGCGCTTGACCAGCCTGACCGGCCTGGCCTGACCCCATCTTGCATTTCACAAACCAACATATGCCAAATTCACACACAAGAGAAGGAGAGAACAGCTGGGGTAGGGGAAGTCAAGGTCATGAGATAAGATCTCTCTTGTCATGTATGCAATCTACATCTACACACAGGCTTATGTATAGTTGCACTCGTAGAAGCTATGGCCTTAGATGCAAGAATTGCACCACCAGATGCAGCTTTCCATAAGAATCCAACTTCACCATTGTTCTCACGAGGGAGGGGAAGTCAAGGCTTTGTAAACTCCAAGAACATCCTTTTCAAGATGCTCCCAACTAAGAAGGTTTAAAACACCATGGTTAAGTGGATCAATCCATTTGTTTCATTACCATTCACAGATGTAATTTCGCCCTAAATTATTGTAATAGTACGATGATTTTGGTTTCAAAAGTCATATGCAATTAGATAATCGTGTTTAATTTCTCGAGAAAAAATTAGGTGGGTAAAAAGCAGTGCCGATCTACGTCAACTGTTCTTTTTCATCAGCCTCACATGGCACACACTTAACAGTCGGTTGCGAGTGG